GGCCCACACCACCTTGCCTCGCAACTCAGAAGGGACGACCAGCCGATGTCGCTGGGATTTGCCGTCCCAATGCATGAGCAGACCCTGCACCATTTCCCATGCACCTGAATCTCCTTTCACCCGCCCAGCACTCCCGACGCGACGACGCCACCCGAGGAGGGAGGTATCCTCCATTTGGAGGCGCCCCCATTCAGTGACGGGCAACCCCAACAGGGAATCTCTTCCCTGTTGTTCGATCGAATTATTAGGCAGTGGTTCGTCGTCGTCGGTGGCTGCCAGGATCGGAACCGATGCGTCCCCTGAAGGTCTGCAACGTCCCGACCCCAGGAGGCATGCACATTCCGAGGTGGTTGGCATGCGTGACAGAGCGTCCGCGTTGGTATGGCGAACGCCCTTACGGTAGGTGGTTTCAAAATCAAAGTCCTGGAGAACCTCCAACCATCGAGACAACTGTCCCGATGGTTGTTGAACTCGCAGGGCATACTGTAGTGCCGCATGATCTGTGCGGACGGTGAAATGCCGACCGTACAGATATGGGCGATACTGTTGGATGAAAAAAACAATTGCCAACAGTTCCCTACGGGTGACACAATATCTTTGCTCCGCAGGAGACAACACCCGACTACCGTACGCGACCACCCGTTCAACGCCATCAACCACCTGGGAAAGCACACCCCCAATACCCGTGTTGCTCGCATCGGTGTCGAGCAAAAAGGGCTTCGAAAAATCAGGGTAAATCAAGGGAGGGGCTTTTACCAGGGCGTCCCGAAGGGAGCGGAACGCAGCCTCCTCCTCTTGACCCCAGTGGAACCGAACCCCTTTAGATGTTAAAGCGTGCAGGGGTTTTGCAATTGTCGCAAAATCAGCAACAAACCGTCGATAATACGACGCGAACCCAATGAAACTCCTGACCTCTCCCACCGAGGTGGGAGTCGGCCAGGAGCTGACACACTGCGTTTTGGCGGGATCGGTAGCAATACCTGAGCGTCCCACGATGTGCCCCAAATAACGCACCGAATCACGCAACAAATGGCATTTTTGGGGCTTGAATTTCAAATTAGCAGCCCGCATCTTTAGGAAAACCGCCCGCAACCTCTGGAGATGTTCATCAAAAGTTTTACCAAAGACGATAATGTCATCCAAATAAATGAGGCACGACTCCCATTGCAGTCCAGCCAAAACCAATTCCATTAAACGCTGGAAAGTTGCCGGCGCTGAGTGTAAGCCCATCGGCAACCGGTTGAATTGAAACAAGCCGTGCGGTGTACGGAAAGCAGTTTTAGGCTTTGACTCATCGTCCAGAGGAAGCTGCCAGAATCCCGAAAGTAAATCGAGTGTGGAAAAGAATCGCGCTCCCGCCAAGGCGTCAAGCGATTCATCCATCCGAGGGAGCGGGTATGCGTCGGCAACCGAAATTTTGTTAAGACGCCGGAAGTCAACGCAAAACCGCAAAGAACCGTCCTGCTTTTTAACCAGGACGATCGGCGCTCCCCAAGGGCTGGTGGAAGGAGAAATGATGTCGGCGGCCAACATGTCATCAACAGCCGATTTGACATGGTCCTTTTCGGCGGGACTCAACCGAAACGGATTTTGGCGAATTGGCGCGCTGTCACCCGTGTCAATATGGTGACGCAGCAGGTGAGTACAACCCAAATCATATTTATTTCGACTAAAAACGTCGGAAAATTCTCGCAGTAGTGTTTTAAGTTGTTGACGCTCTGAATCTGACAGGTCCGTCGATCCCGCACAAAGCGCCTCGAGCCACCCTTCATCGCTGTCCGAATGCGGTCGCGACGCAGGGACAGTGTTGACGTGATTTACGGCGGGTTCCTCACACGGCACCGGCGTTGCGTGAGCAAGCACGGTCCCCTGTGGGACCACCACCGTCCGCGAGCCCACATTTAGGACCGCGATGAAGGGTTCACCATCCCCTCTCACTATGGTCTGGGCCGGAAGTAAGTCAGGTCCACTAACCCCGGCCCTAGACGGCCCCAACAGAACCCCTTGGGCCCCAGTACCCTTAACGAGGGGCCGCCGAAGTTTCAAGGGTACCAACATTTGCGTCCCCGGAGGGACGCGTACCGTTCTCTCCACGAACGCCGGCACCGTCGCGAACGCCGTCCGAGTCGCAACCGGTGATGGCAGAAACGCCATGCGTCTGCCCGACGGAAGCTCTATACAACCCTGGTCGATCAAAATCACAATCGGCATTTTGGCCAGGAAGTCCGTCCCCAGCAGGCACGGAACCGCCAGCGAGGAGGAAACAAAAATTGGCCCAGACAATTTTATTTCCCCGATACAAATTTGGGCACGAATTTGTCCGATGATGCCAAGTGAGCCCCCGTTAGCCGCATAGAATGGTATGTCAACAGGCATCAAGGGACGACTCCGGACAGGGAGAATATTATAAATCAATTCCGAAATAATAGTCGCCGATGCTCCCGTGTCGACCAGGATGCGCACTTCAACCCCGTCGATGTACCCCACAACGGCCGACGACCCCGACGATGCGGCTACCACACGATCGGCCAGCACGGACCACTGGCCGGGTTCGATATGGGTACCCGGGGTGGTGCGTGATGGTGCGATGGTGCGTGATACCGGCCCCCCTCTCGTTGCGGTGTTTGAGTGCGTGACGGGTGTGTGTGTGGGCCAAACGTGTGGGGTGCCGCGACTCGCCGGTTTATGATGGTGGAGCTTGGGATGAGGCCCGTCGTCCCGGTGAGGTGTCGTCCCGCGCTGACGAGGAGAGCGGCACCCCGAGGCGACGTGGCCCCGGACGCCGCAGTTAAAACACCGTGGGAGCGGCGTCGGAGGTGACGAATGGTCGGAACGGCCCGACCCGTCCTGGCCCGGCCGTGCACTCGTCGCCTGTTGCCGTCGGTGGTCGACGGCGTAGAGTTCCTCCGTCGGAAGGGTGGCTGCAGCCACCGCACGCCCCGCCGATGCCCTGCTGGCTTTTCGTCGGAGCGACAGGAGGTTGGCGTGGAGGAGCCTTGCCGCCTGGAGCGACGTCATCTCTGCATCCTCCTGCGCGACCACAGCGATGTCAAGGTCGTCAGCTAGGAGGAGTATTTTCTCCGTCACCATAGCGTCGATGCCGTCGTCATCCATACGGGGGAAGGCCGACTTGGCCATTGCCAGGAGGCTCGTTCGGTACGCCAGGGGCGACTCCTTTTCACCCCGCTTGCGGTCGTAGAACTGCTGTCTGCATTCCGCCGATGGTCCGTAGACCCCTCCCAGCAGCTGCAGCGCCATCGGTAACGTAGCCCGCCTCTCTTTTGGTGCCGATGTGAGGGCTGCGAGCGCGTCGCTGTCGAGGAGCGCCGGCAGCGCGCAGAGAGCCTCCTCGTCTGTCCACCTCGCCATCTCTTGATGGGCGAGGAATCGTCTGCGGAACCCGGCCCAGTCCCCCTCCGCGCCGACGAACTCTTTCAGCGGGGGCAGCCTCTGATGGAGTGCAGCGGTCGTTGTTGATTCCCGCGGGCGGATGTCACCTCCACTCGGCTGTGCGTCGGTACGAGCGGCCGATGGGATCGCCTGTCGCGGTGGTGATGACGTCGCGGCTTCAGCGACGGCGATGCCGGAGTGGATGTGTAGGCTGGCCACGCCCCGAACAGCTGCAGCGTCGATGGCGGGAGTTTCAAACTCGGGCTGCTCCGAAATGGCGGGAAGGCGCCCTGGTCGTTGGCCCGCCTCGCCCCGTGTTGAATCACCGGCCCCCAGCCGCGTGATGGTCTCCAGCGTGGCGGCAGCGGCATATAACAGCTCCGCCAGCCTCCCGTGAGCCAGCCGCAACGCGTCTGACTGTGGTCCTTCTTCACTCAGATGCCCCGGTAAGGAGACATCAGGCCCCGGCTGCACCATGGCTTGTGTAGCCGTCTCGGGCTCGACGATCTCGGCAGTATCTTCCTCTTGCGGTACTTTGGCCCGCGCTGTCTTCCACGTGTCCATGTTCAAGTTTTACTTCTGACACCAGTTGAAGTACCGGTGAAGACACTTGACGCCGAGGTTGAGGCACACGGATATTTATTTAACACAGCTCGTATGTGACATACAGCACTGGAGGGGGTATCGGCCCCCTCACCCGACTAGCTAAGGATACACGTCCTAGCTAGTCCTAGCCTGCCTCACAGTCCTCCACTATTTGGCTAGGGGAGGCTACTTGGCCCGACACTGGTAAGTCGGGCCCGGTACCCGGAGTCCCAGACCAGCTCTTAGAAGAGCACCGGCTCTGGCTTTCGGGACCACGCCGCTGGCTCAGTCCTGTTCGGCCCTGATAAGGACATCGAACGAGGGGAGTCCAGGGCTCTATCTAAGACGTCTTCAGTCTTCTTGGTTAACTTATAACATAACTGACTCGAGCCCCTATAACGTCCCCTTTTATACCCAACCCTCCTTGAGGGGTGGGGCCCCGGGGGATCATAACGCCAAACCAGCCCCCCCCAGAGTGTCTGGCTCGGACGTCGCAGAGGGCATCTCCCTGTGCACACACGTAGCCCTGCCCACTGTGTTTGTTTCCCATAGACTGCCATACATAACGGGCCCTCTCTTTAACACCCCTACACTAGTACTGTGAGAGTTGGAGACTGCTTGTTTTGGTCTTCATTCAGCAGTGGATTAATCATTGCTTATGATGATGCATATTGATTTTTCCTAAAGTCTTGTGGCTGTGAAGATGTCCAGACATAAGGGCTGCTGCTTCTTATTTACCATGGTGGGGAGTTCATCAGCAGCGCTTATTCCATACCTGTCAACCCATACGGTTTACCCGTATTCTTGTACAGGGAAATTGAGTTTTTCGGTCCATACGGCATACAGCCGTTTCAATACGGGCTTTGTAGGATGACCATTGAGATGTATAAGGGCACAGCGTGACCAATAAGGTCTTAATTGTTCTGTTATAAAATAGGCACTGATAAGGGATTGACAGGTATGGTGTTTATATGTTGATGTCGAGGGCGTGAGTGCTCATCATGACGCGTTTCCCGTGATCCCAGGAAATGGCCATACGTGCGCTGACGCCGGAGGAGCCGGAGAAGGTGGAGGACTCGGAGACTGACCAGACGGACGTCGATCCGGAACACTACATCAAGCACCCGCTGCAGAACAGGTGCTGGGATATCTGATGACTTAAGTAATGGATTACCGATTACCTGGTCGATTATGAAAACATGTTATTGCATCAATTTCTATGTGGGATTGGGAGCTACCTTCTAGTAATTTTAGATTATATATTCACGGTTTAATGCAGCCATATTAGGATTATGAAATGCACTTTTTAAATTGGGGGTGCATCTTCTAATCAGGTACGTAGTCTGAAACCTGGCACCTGGGCATGCAAGTTGCAATTATGCCCAGCGTCCAATCTATATGTAGCCACTTGAATGAATATTAGCTCGTGACTGAAGAGTTACCTTTTACATGTGAAGACTCACAATGGAATTCTACTTGCATACATGTTTACCGGTATTGTAACACTTTTGAGACTTACGGATTGTCCACTATTTATAAGACGATACATTTAAGTGCCGTATATTATATTAGGTACCATGATTTGCATAGCCTGTGTAATGTTACTGCATGTTTACCCGTGTCATATTTACCCATATTAGATGGGGTTTTGAAATTATTCAAAAGCTGCTGATGCATCTTAATTTCCTGACGTCTTTTAATCAGGACTATATGTGAACGCAAGGCTATTTGCTTTGGTTTTCCCGAAATTGGTTCAGCCTGCTTTTGATACAAGGCAGCTTTTTAAATGTACTGATTAAGAAGCCGATAAGAGGCAAGTTAAAGCCTCGTGATAACCTTTCCAATGATATATTTGAGCTTCACATGAATGTGTGTGTGTGCTTTAGGTGGGCTCTTTGGTTCTATAAGAATGACAAGAGCAAGTCATGGCAGGCCAACCTGCGACTCATCACCAAAGTGGACACGGTGGAGGACTTTTGGGCGTACGTACATACGTTAACACGCTTTTTACACTTATCTGTACACGTACAGCCGTTTTTGTCAATCCCCTGATAGATGAGGGGCTCCTCACGCCGTGCGGTTCATGGCGATTATTTGACCACACATGGCCACGCTGGTCTGTGGGATGTTGCGAAGGTATGTAAATTAATACATCCAGAATATATATCTGCATACATACGTATATGCATTATATTATATAAATATACATACATCCACACACAAGTCAAAACCTGTACAGAGTTTGGCAGCTTAAATGCTTTTGTAACACAATTCGGAAGGCCCATAGGATGGTGGACCTATATGCCACGAATTATTTTTTAATTGATAAAAATGTTACAATTTCATATCATTGCCATGTCCAGCCCATTTTCAATCCACTGCTGGATGAGGGCCACCCTGTTTAGTGCGGTTATTGATGGGATTTTTTCTCGTATTCCACACTGGTTAGTGCGGGTTGGTGAAGGCAGGGGGAGCATAGTACTTAGGCATTAGGAGTACAAGTACAACAATTTACTTTGTTGGGCTGACCACATTGTACACTTATCATTCAGGATAATCAGTTTCATTTATTAGGTATATCCCTGTGAGCCATTCGGCTCTTGAATCGGGTGCTAACCGCAACAAACCAAAAACCAAAACATGCACAAGAAAACATCTTAAAGTGACTATGCGCAAACAGAAAAATCCAGGAAAAAACTACAAAGTCTTCAGAAAAAAAGCACCGTACACCAACGCTGTGCAAAAATCCCAGTGGGATGCAAGTCAAACAACAATTCACAAGACAACGTAGATTAAAGCCATCATTCTAACTCTGTACTACAACAAACAAACATGGCCGAACCACAAAAGTTTTCGAAATACACCAAATAAAGCCATAAGCAATGTAACAGTGATCATAGGAACTGTGACCGAAATTCACATAAACGACATAAAAAACATGTATGAGAATTTACCATTTGGATTTGCATCTCAAGATGCTACAAAACAGCAGGACGTTTGCTTTCCAGAGCAAAGGACTTATGCCTCCCCCTGTACATTCGAGGTAAGATACGAGTGTGAAGAGACCGTAGAGAATAGACAGTCATGAGCAGAGAAGAAGTTTTGAAGGCTCCACTTGAACGGGGTCACGGGGTCAGGAAGTCGGTTGCATGGATGGCCGGGAGAGGGAATCGCAGACGATAGACACAGCACCAAATGATCTTGCACCCATGATGACCATTATCTCCGTATTGTTTGTGAAACATCTTGTTTGTTAAATGGAATGAAATGCTTTAAGAACCCCAAACATTTGTCATGAGCATTCATAATTTCTCACCATAAACGTTTCCAGTCACCCTACGCGATTGCTTTTGAAAATGCTGATGTTGAAATATTGCTTTGTGGGCGTTACAGAGATTGTCAGTGTTTCCTTCATTTTACCACAATAAATGAGATGCATGAAACTGTTTCTGTTTGTAAGGGCAACCTAGTAAAAAAAAAATATATATATATATAGTAGTTATGAGACATTTGGTTTAAATGTAATACATTTGAATGGGTTGTTTTTTATGTTGCTCCAGGTTGTACAATCACATCCAAGTTGCAAGCCGTCTCATGCCAGGCTGTGATTACTCCCTTTTCAAGGTGAGCTCGCCGCTGCAAAGTGAGTCTCACAGAATCATTGGTGATTAGATGGATTGCAGGGGTAGGTGACGAGGGTGACAGCGTAGCCTCGATCAGGTCGGCGAGGGAAGCCTGCCTCTTCTGACGGTCACCTGCGACACTTAAGGCTTTACGATGTCAATGGCGAGAGGGCTCTTGTTACGTCGACGGCGAGCTTTAGGGCTGAATGAGCAGAGGTGGATTCTTTTCCGAGTGTGCGACGTATGTGAAGAGAACAAGAGCGTCGACGTCTGGTCATCAACATCTTCCAGCCCCGCACCATCGCGCTTGACATCTGCGTTGTAAACATTTATTTCGCTTTCACATGTTAACTATACAGGAGGTTGTGGGTTCAATCCTGACCCTGACGCCTGTATTTTTGGAGTTTGCATGTTCTCTCTGTGGTCGCTCGGATTTTTCTCCGGCTCCTCCGGTTTTTCCCTCCACATTTAGAATCAACATGATGCTTTTACAGTCTTTGGCTGCTATACATTTTCACGTGATAAGCCACTTTGTTGAGGTATCATTTGTGGCCAGGTTGTTTCTGAAAACTCAGGTCGTCCTTACCTGGTAAAATATAAAATACTTAAAGTTTTTTTAACAAAGCAAACTATCTTTGGCGATCCACGTGGAACTCCTCCAATCTCTATCGTCAAAGCTGACGTGCTTGCCGTATCTGAATAGACCGATGCGACCTTGGGTCGATACCAGGGGGTTAACCCTCTTTTCCCCACCATGTGTGTCTCCTCCCCAGGACGGCATTGAGCCCATGTGGGAGGACGAGAGGAACAAGCGTGGCGGCCGCTGGCTCATCACGCTCACCAAGACGCAGAGGCACTCCGACCTCGACCGCTACTGGCTTGAGACGGTGCGTGCCGCTGGGCGTAGCTGTTGAGTGTGCTGGCAGTGCAATTGGTGTCGAGTCCCCACCGTTCCAGATGGTACCAACCAAATAACTTTTCTCATTTGTAAACAAATGTTTTAATAATAATCTGAGCTAAAGGGGCTGTGGACAATAATTTTAATTAGTAGTGAACGAGTGTTTTTTGGCTTCCGTTTGTCAAACGAATATATTATGAGGGCACACTCATTGCACACAAAGTTCTCGCCACAAATTAACCAAAATACCTTGCTGATCTCGTCAAAGAGCAAAGACCATTACGCACAAACTACTCTGGTCATCCTCGCAGCAGCTTTTGTCGAGCCATTGCACAAAGACAGTCGCTGCATTGCGTGCTTTCAGATGTGCTTCTTCGGCCGTCTCGAACATTCTTATGATATTAGCAATCCCTCTAGAGCTATGCGCTTGTAAACCTAGATTGAAAACTAATTTCTTTAGAACTGCTTTTTGTGTTAAGTTTGTTGTCAATCCCCCCCCCGTACTTCTGATTCGCACGGTTGGCTACGTATGGTACGAAAGAAGTTCAACGTACATACATTCACATACGAGTGTCGCTGTGTCTGGCTGCAGCTGCTGTGCCTCATCGGGGAGGCATTTGACGACCACAGCTGACGACGTGTGTGGCGCGGTGGTAAACGTGCGGCCCAAGGCGGACAAGATCGCCGTGTGGACGGCGGACTGCGACAACCGCGAATCGGTTGTCGGCATTGGGTAAGGCGTTCTCTTCTGCTTTTTAAAATAACTTGCTTGTTTATTTTTTGTAAAATACCACAAGTTTGGGTGGAAATCGCGCACATGCATGGCCGGATTGTGCATCGTGTTCCAGCATGTGTCCTTCGTGAGTATTTAATTAGCGGTAATAACCAGAGCGCTCACGCCAGGTGTGCAAGAGGTAGTACGTTGGTAGGCCGCGATGAGTCAGCGGGTCTTGGTTCAGTCTGGTTTTGTCTCCGCTAAGTTTAGGAGGCAACGTTTTGATTAACGTGGCTGGTTTGGTTGGGTAAATCTCGAACCAATACTGTTAGAAACCAACATTTTGGTTCACATTGGCTCATCTTCACAAGGTCTCTCATGACTCCTGTTTACAGATGACAGAGCTCATGAACTTTTTAAATTTTGATTGAAATGCGTGAACAAGCATTGCAGGACTCTCCTCTCCCTTCGTTGATTCTTGGCCAAACTTGTAAGTTTCACATTTTTTGGTTGGGGTTAATTTCTCGGACAATCACCGTTGGCTTTTGAGAACCTAGTACAAATAGTTTTTCACCCCAGAGGGATGATGATGGTCTGAGTCAATCTCTAAATTTAGATTTTAACTCCAGACTGTGATTGTGAGTCACGCCTTCTATAACCACTACACCAAGCAGTGGTTATAGAGGGCGTGGTGGTGATTAAATGACACATTTATTTTAATCAGCATTGCAACACAGACAAAATGAGCATGACCCACCCTGCTGTTTTTATTGCTCATCACGAACATCCGTAACTTTGCTGTCCTAACGAAAAGAGTTCTTCGCAACGATTAATCCATGACTGTTGTCCTATGTTCACGATGCATGTGTAGTGAGTCCAACTGAGTCACAGACGTTGTCTTGGGAGCAACACTATTTATTCAGTAATTCAACATAACATAACACAACCTACACTTGGATATTGAATGCTCATCTAGCCACGCTACGGCAGAACTAGACACGGTTCGCTATCCCGGCCCGGACCACAACCTGGGTCCCAGACCACCGCGTGGCTAGAAGCTTCTTTTACCCGACGTGGATCTTCATCACCAGCAACACGAAGAACCCCGAGCCCCTCACAGTGCCCCCCCCCCCCACCTTATATCGGCTTGGGCTGGGGCTGGCTCCGCCCCTCGCCCCGCCCACCTTCTAGATCTCTCTCGAGTTCTTTCCCGAAGGCTCCCGAGAGCTCCCTCTATACCACGTGACCGCCCAACGGCCCCCGTCCACCGGTGGCCCCCCTCCAATGTCATCCGGTCACATGCTGGCAGGTCATCCAGCATATCATGCCCCAACGTAACCCTGGCTGGCTGACACTCTTTCTCGCTCCCTCACCGGGAGCCTGCACCGCACACTGTACGTGGTGCCCCCGCACTGACCAGCGCTCACCCAAGCCCCGCTAGGGCTGGTACTATGCCCAGTAAGCGGGCTACACATAATGCCAACACATTATCTGCCGTGCCTTCATAAGCCCGGCACCACACAGTGACAATCACGGTCACTACATATGGAACAAACTGTGTATATAAGAATGTGTTATTTATATGTTTTATCATATGCCAATTGTATTCATGGGCTAGTGGAGTGGACACTACAAAAAAAAAAGACAAACGGGACGGTGATATCAAGAGAAACATTCAACTCTTGCATTGGATTTGGATCCTGAATCGTGACAATTGAATAATTCTGTTGCAGTGAATATTGACATGTTTTAAGTCATCGGGTTGTAATTTCCTGCACCCCACATCCTATGGAGGCTACATTGCTGCTAACAGATGGCAGTGAAGCAAAGTCAGTTGTTATACCGTACTGCTGGGCCTACGCTCTACACTTTCACCAACCCCTCACTCGCCAGTGTGGTGATGCATCGCCAAATAAACTCGCACAACCTGCACGGCGTGGGGAGTCCCTCACCCGGCAGCGGTTGGATCGACAAAAGAGCCGTGCGCGTATAATTTAGTTGAGCCAACCGCTTTTCTAGACAAGGGTTCATCGAAACGAATGTGTACGGTGACACAAGCCGCGCAAGTTTACGCTCCTGCCGTGTCCGCCTGCTTAACGAGCGATGCCCGTCTCCCTGTGCTCACCGCAGGCGCGTGTACAAAGACCGCCTGGCGCTGCCTCCTCGCATCATCATCGGCTACCAGTCCCACACGGACACGGCGACAAAGAGCGGTTCCAGCACCAAGAACATGTTTACCGTGTGAGGGGGGCGGATGCATCGCTGCCCCCCACCTCTCCCCCCCCCCGACCTCGACGCCCCCCCCTCCCATGGCTCCATCGCCGTGCTGCACCCCATGACGCCCCATTGCCAGCCCACCTCACCCCCCCCTCCCATCTCCCTTCCAGTGTCATATCCGTCGCGAGCCACCTTCGTATCGCAAGATGCAACCGAAAAAACACAATTGACTGGTACTTTAACTCCTTACCAAAACGACGTCATGTTCACAGTTTTTCCGCAGGCGCTCTTGCAAATTGCGTCAAGAATCGTATTCGAAATCTGGTCCAGAAAACCTTGAAATGAGTGCAGAACAATTGTGGTTTTCAAATTCTCCAGCACGCTACTTTACATTGGTGTAAGGCGGTGACGGGTGCCGGCATGCGCCGCCGTGTGTCAGGACACGGCTGCAGTGCCCGCTCCCAAACCGCACCACGTGTCAGAATGTGGTGAACACTACATTCAACGTTATGTCGATCATATCACAATTGCACCACTAGAGGACCCGGGGTCGCGGCTTTCGATTTCACGAAGAAAGGCTTGCGGCCTGTGTCAGCTTGGAACGCACGGTCCAGGTGTGTGTACAAAATGACAGCCGTTTGGGTTGTCTTTCAGACAACTTAGCCAACCCACATGACTCCCTCCCCTCCCTCGATGTCTACATCCCCCCTAACCCTCCCCCTCCCACACCCCACAATCCATCGAGGGCCAATCTGGTGTGAGTTTACACAAATGCCTTAGGCCTTTAAAAACAAACAAAAAATAATGTAAACTCGAATGTTGCAGTCAGGTCCCCCATGTGTGCACGTGGCAGCGGTCTTCGTGAAGCCGTGTGCTTGGGGCGTTAGCTAAAGTCTGCATAGAGGTGTTTCTTGCAAGGTATAGGAGGGATATCTGCAACTTGGCAACCTGCCCTAGGTTACCATGCACTAATTGAGCTTTGTTATTTGCATCCAAACTCTTAGTATAAGATTGAAAAACTCTTGACCTGATGTGTGCGCGCATCCGCACGTTTTCTTAATATTTCCAAACTGCAAATTTAGGTTACCACATCTGACACTATCATATTTTGATTTTGATTATTTTTGTGTATCGTACAGTACTGTTTGTGTGATAACCATTGCTGGATGTTGGCGCAAGCGAACGCAGCACAAGTGTTGGCAGTCTGTAACGAGAGCGGACTGGCACACAACACTTAAAATGTATTTATTATAGTGTGTTTTAAGTGTCTATGGTCTAACATTGCAATCCACTCATTAAGTACTCGTTTTTTGTCACACTGTACATTTAGCACCCTCGGGTGCGCACGTTTATTATTTAAGCGCTGTACTTCACGCGTGCTTGCGGTGGCTGCGGGAGAGGTAGGTGTGCATTTAGTTTCTAGCGAGCGAGTCGAAACGGTGCACTCGAGATTCTCGTCGTATCGGCAGCGCAAGCCAACCAACGTTGCCGACCGGCGTGCTTTTAAGAAATGAAAGCGTTTCTTTTGTCAACTGCGTTTTAATAAACGCTTAATGTTTTTGCTAGAGCCGGGCTGTTCCGATTATTTAGGTAATCTATTAGTTTACCGATAATTGGTTAAGTTACTCCACTAATCTAATGACACGAAAGTAATTGGGGGGGGTCTCAACTCTACCCTTGCGTGTGCTGCTGGACGGGAGGTGATGGGCAGGTGCTTGGTGGCATCGCCAGCATCGTCATCCGACTCTTGACCATGAATTGCCAGGGGTTTCTCGCCTTCAGTTTGCAGGACGTGGGGTGGAGGAGCTTGAATCTTTTTTAAAGGGGCCCAGGTATCGACCACAAGAAGAGCAATTCTCTCGTATGGATGTAATGTGTGTAACAATCATACACGGACGTCTACATTTGAAATCAAGTTGAAATGTAGGTGAATGCAATTTCTCGTCGATTAATCGGCTTGATCGACTTCTCGTCCTGGCTCTCGGTTCAACGTCAATCGCCGTCGCAGATCTTCGACACGGTTGCTCCGCAGAGACGCGCACCTTAACACAAGCCCGCTATCGACACGGAAGCGCGTAAACAGGGTCCTCCGGCTACTTCGGGTGCTGGGCCCGAAGCACGTGCCCTCGGTGTTTTTTTGCAATGGCATTTTACACAATTGTTTGGCAGCGTAATGCCGCCACAATGACGGGGTGAATGTTGGCTTCCTGTCTTGCCGTAGCAGCTGTTTGTTCCCTGTGTAGGCCAGACTGCTTTGAAGGATGAATAGACCGAATTAAGGTGCTGCTGGGTTTAGTGCCAGGGCTAAGAACGAGCCCTGACCTTCGCCTAAACTTGGTTAAATCTCCAGGGGAGGAGCCGTAGTTTGTGGTGGCAGCGATTAGCCAGCGGCGCTATGAATGCGGCCACCCGAGTTGGATTTCCTGGTCACGGCTAACATCAGTGGCAAGTGATATCGCAACCAGTCCTGCCCTTTCGCCTTTAACTTAAACTGACTAGCGTAGTGGTCAAAAGCTCAATAAAACGATATGATGTGGGGTGGCCTTCATTGGTGAATGGGAATGGCCTGAATGTATTTGATATTAATGAAACGATTACCAGCCGGTTTGACGCATTGGTGTAGTGCAGTGCACAGATTGCAACCGGACCGTTGTCAGTTCATTCCAGTTTGTGGTCACCTTGGCCCGTCCTCTCGTAAGGCTGGTCGACGGATATCCTTTGGAAGGACTCCGCGTGCCATAAGAACGTGTAATGTCCACCACGGGTTCAGGACAGTAAACGGGATTTGAAACCAATAAGGCAATTTGGGCTGCTCAAGGAACTAAGTGGCTGTGGCAAATAGGAACCTGACCTGAATCTCAAGCGACAATAGCAAACCTCTGCGTTTCGCGGCGTGTATAAGTGCAGTACGTGATTTTATATGTGTAGTGGACATGGCGGCTTGTGGCTAGCTTAATTGAAGTGTCGTCTCGTGTGCTCACGCGTAGAAGTGTGGACTCTTGCCATGGTTGTGAAGCCATGCATTACGTGTGGCCAATTTCGCAACCAGGAGATTTCGTTATTACGCTAGTTTCCTTTCTCCTGACTTTTCTCTGCGTGTAAGATTATCATCTGAGCAAATAACGTGTTTTGTACCGGTAACCTATTTTGCTATTAAATTGTTTATTTCATGAACTCGTAAGAAAAAAAATGATGGGCCTACGTGATGCGGCGCCTCTGTATACTTTTCTCTCAGAAGTTCCCGTGTGTCGATGCAGTACGGCGGCTGAAATGGGCGACATTGACATTTTTGCAATGATGAATTAACACCTAAATAAGCTCTAGCAGCATTTTGTTATTTGCGCCTGGATTTATGTCATTAGTTGGAATAAAGACGTGATTAACTTATCTTCTAATACATGTGTAGTATAGCACAAGTCGGAGACGAGGTAGTTGCAGGAAGGCACCTTATTCAGATCTCGCACAGCTTCCAACTTCAACAGGTTCGCCCTCATGCACTCCCTCGTCTAGCCAGCGTCGACCGAGACAACAACTATCCGGCTGCGCAGCGTTCTAGTGAAGACTGCAGCGACGACGAGACCAGTCCATTCGCAGAACCGGCAGCCCAGAGCTATTGCTCTCTGCTGCGTTTATCCTACTTGCGGCCTGGCTCCATCCTGGCCACGCTTCCCTTCTCGAAGCCACTCGCGGGTTCCGGGTCTTCCAGATGAGGTCTTCCGTGACCTTTGTCCCAGTTCCTCCGCCCTGCCGGCACACCCGTGTATATGCTCAACGGCGTGTGCGCTAACTGTCCACCGCAGTTGCAGCTGCTGGACAGCAGTTGGCGCTATGTCACTACACATGCTATATACCCTACTTGGTGACAAGCTGTGACAAAGCGCCCGATCTCAGAAGCTAAGCATGGGTTGAGCCTGGGAAACGATTGGATGTTTGGCCACCATACGTGCCAGGTTGTCAGGCAACAGTGGGGTATTGCAGCACAATCCATTTTTGTGCTGCGACTCACTGCTATGCTACAAAATGGGACCTTTTACCAGCATCAAAGATTTCTTGCAAAAAAAGTTTTCTATCTGGTGTTTGACCTTCTTAACACCTGTTTCATTGCCAGAAAGGGTAAACCCGAATCTTATTTTTTCACACTTTAATGCTGGCAAAAAAGTACCCCGAGCTATAAGGGCATTGTCTTTGTCCTGTTCGCCCTTTGGCGTTCTCTGGTCTGACATTGGTGAGACGAGGCCCTAAAGAAGGCTGTCTGGTGTAGGCCAATCGGGTTCAAAGACAGCGCATCATATATTTAATTATCAGAACATATTTGTTTGCATGTTCACCACAAGTACTGTGTGTGAATAATGCAGACTTGATTCCTTGCAAATGGTTTCTATTTGGTGTTTTAACATCTTAACACAGCTGTTTTATTGCCAGAAAGCGTTAACCCTATTCTTATTTTTCATACATTGCTATGCTTCCGGCCTTCAACCCACACTGATCACCACCAGTATGATTGGTGCAGTATGATTGAATAATTCTCATGACCCACACCGTGGGTTTGGGTGGCCCTCATCCAGCAGTGGATTGACAAAAAGGCTGTACATGTTATACCCTGTGCCGAGAAAAGAAATCGAATCGGTATTTCAATCACTTGTTCACACAATAAGTTCGTTCTGTAGTATCGCCGTGCTCTGTGGTTGCACGTGCCTGCATTGATGGCCTTCAGCCAGTGGTGGAAATTCCACATTCCTATTTTGAAGGCTAGAATCTCTATTGTAACCACTGTTTACTTCTTCACAAAGTAGTGTTCTGCATGTGGCTATGCTCCCTACTGATGGTGACCTTACAATCCAGCCCAATTGAACTGGATTTCAGAATAGAAATGTATTCTTAAGATAAAGTTCATTGGTAAATCGAAAACTGTAAGCACAACGCACAATGCCAGACAATCACGAACAACGCGGTACGTCCAGAATGAACACCTCATTCGAGACCCAAACATCGCCGCACCTGCTGGCTATGACATTCTTTTTCCTCGAAGACACTGCTGGTGGAACCATCAACCTCATCAGAACATCACCAGCAGGCCGACATTGCACCATAGCCATCTACATCATCATTAGACCTCCTTTGCCAGTACCAAAATATACTAATAGGGTTTTCCCACTTTTTTCCGGCAACAAAACTAAAACATTTTTACAAAGATGCATGTCTGCATTAAACACAATACTTGCACTATGGGGACCTCATTTGCCAGTAAAAATATGATAATTGGTTCTTTACCCTTCTATCTGGCAACAAAACTGACACCTGTTTTTTGCAAGGAGTCATGTTTGCATAGACCGCAATACCTGCAGTCAATACAAACAAAATAACATAACTCTGATAATGTGCACTGTCCTTGAAGTTGATTGGTCCACACCCGAGACAGCTTTCCTTCGAGCCTAGTCTCATATGGGTTGGACCAGATGACGCCAAAAGGCGCACAACTCAAGGACAATGCACCATCAGAGTATGAAAGCTCGGGGCAAGCATCTACACTATGGGGACCTCATTTGCCAGTAATTGTCCTTGAGTTGTGCGCCTTTTGGCGTCATCTGGTCCAACCCATATGAGACTAGGCTCGAAGGAAAGCTGTCTCGGGTGTGGACCAATCAACTTCAAGGACAGTGCACATTATCAGAGTTATGTTATTTTGTTTGTATTATGACTGCAGGTATTGCGGTCTATGCAAACATGACTCCTTGCAAAAAAGGTGTCAGTTTTGTTGCCAGATAGAAGGGTAAAGAACCAATTATCACAATACTTGCAGTCAAATGCATTTGACACAATACTTGCCAGTCAAATGCATTTGACACAATACTTGCAGTCAAATGTATTTGACACAATACTTGCAGTCAAATGTATTTGACTGCAAGTATTGTGGTTAATGCAGACATGAATCCTTGTTAAAAGGTTTCAGTTTCGTTGCCAGAAAAAAGGGGGAAACCCCTATTATTGCACCATAGCTCCTTCGTGAATGGGAAATTAAAAGACGCAAGGCACCGTGGTGGGACTGTGGCCAATGCAATCCAAACTACGGAGCGTATTCGTAAACCCGGTGCTCATGCCAAGATACCTGCTGCTGTGATGTCGCCAGTAAACCCAGAGGCTCATAGTGGATACAGAGAGACTCCCTGAGAGATGAATGTATCATGGGACCTCCTTTGCCAGTACCAAAATATGAGACTAAGGTTTTCCCCTTTTTTCTGGCAACAAAACTGGTGTCAAGATATTCTTGGTTCTGTCGGTAAAGTCACGTATAAGGGAAATAATAAAAATATAAAACAATACAATTCTCACAACGTTTCGACTGCAACACAAGCAATCATCATCATCAGGTGTGAAATCCACTTTTTTCAAATTTTCATGCTGTGGATTTCACACCTGATGATGATTGCTTGTGTTGCAGTCGAAACGTCGTGAGAATTGTATTGTTTAATATTATATTATTTTATTATTTCCCTTCTACGTGACTTTACCGAAAGAACCAAGAATATGAATCCCTGCAGTCACGAAATCTTTAAATCATAAGGTGTCAAGATGTTAAAACACCAAACTTAAACCTTTTACAAGGAATCATGTCTGCGTTAACCACAATGATTGCGGTCAGAATGCAAACAAAAAACATACTCTGATAATATATGCATTGTCTTTGAAACTGAGTGGTCCACACCAGAGACAGCTTTCTTTTGAGCCTCATCTCAATTGGTGTTAGACCAGAGGACGCCTTTTAACAATGCATAAATTATCAGACAGAGTATGTTTTTTTATTGCAATCTGACCACAAGTATTGTGGTTATTGCAGACATGATTCCTTGTAAAATGTTTCAGTTTGGTGTTTTAACATCTTAACACATCTGTTTTTTTGACAGAAAAAGGGGAAAACCTATTCTCAGATGGATGGATGTTTGTTGAACTTTCGTACGTAGCCAACCATGCTAATCGGAGACACAGACACATACTTACAAAGTCCCATCACAAGGGAGAAACACAAATTAAGTAATAGGTTTTTTTACCCTTTCAAATGGTACAAAACTGACACGTTTATACAAGGGATCATGTTTGCAATAACCACAACACAAGCAGTCAAAATGCAAACAAAAATAAACAACTCTGATAATGATATGCACTGTCCTTGAAGTTGATTGGTCCACACCTGAGACAGCTTTTCTTAGAGCCTAGTCTCCATTGGTGTTGGACCAGATGACGCCAAAAGGTGTGTAAACACAAAATAAGACAAAAAAAATAAAAATTGCCCGGTTTGAAACGGCTGTAGCGCCATATGGACCTGAAAACTCAACCCCCCTGTCCAATAAAACGATGTTAAACCGTAGGGATTGACGTCTAATAGCTATCGCATTATTATTATTCATCACAAGCAAGCACAAGGATTGATTGCGATTTAAAGTAAAACGATTGTATTTCCCAGTGCACACACGCATCACGAGGGGGGGGGTGTGTGTCTTATCAAGTCTACCAAATGCAACGTCCGGCTCCCCCGTGACCTTTCATCGCACACGCAGCGTGGTGCTGCTCGCGGTCCCGCAAGCCTCGAAGCAGAAGGCAGCAACAACAACGATGACAACAACAACAACAACGTGGACATCTAACAACAACAATAATAATCGGCAGGTTTAATCGCTTGGTTGCGATATTGTAGAGCGAGCGGGCGGGTGAACGGGCGTGCGTGCGTGAAGCTCGCACTTGAACCCCGATTGACGCAAGGCCCTAATTTATGTCGTATTTTAAAAAAATATTTTAACACGTAATGACCTCAGGCTGTTGTATCGGGGCTCCTCGGTGTACAATTTGACTGTTAATTAATTTATTTTAAATAACGTTTTTGTAAAGCGATAAGCGTAATTGATGGTTACGATTATTATACAGACGTCAGACTACTTTATCTTAACGCGGGATCGATCCTTCGGCCTAAGCGGATACAGTAAACGATAACGTTCGAATATATAGTAATCGTATTATTTATATGAGAACAACAATCATGTTTTTGCCTTGATTACAATCAGCGTGGCGTTCCACGCCGGCGTATCGGGCACTCGCTGATTGATCGAAGGGTCTTTGAGAGGGGGACGACTTTGTTGTTGAAGAGGCGAAGGTGGTGGTGGTGGATTTGAGTTAATCATTACCCAGCGTCAACCTCGTTTTGAAAGATCAGGTAAGCGTGGTCATCATCATCAGCAGCATATTCATCAGCAGCATAATCATCAGCAGCATAATCAGCAGCAGCATAATCAGCAGCAGCATAATCATGAGCATAATCATCAGCATAATCAGCAGCATAATCAGCAGCAGCATAATCAGCAGCAGCAGAATCATCAGCAGCATAATCAGCAGGGCATAATCAGCAGCAGCATAATCATGAGCATAATCAGCAGCATAATCAGCAGCAGCATAATCAGCAGCATAATCAGCAGCAGCATAATCAGCAGCAGCATAAACAGCAGCAGCATAAACAGCAGCAGCAGAATGATCATCACCATCAGCAGCAACATTTGTCCACCGCTCCCATCAGTATAATCATCATCTGTCCACAAATGTTCCATCATCATCATCAGAATAAGAATCATCTCATCCTTTGCTGCTCATCGACAGCATCTGCATTCCAGCATCGTATTCCTGAGCCTAGGCAGCAACATCTCGAACAGTTATCGATCCACTGATGGGTAATGCCGTTTCCATCGCCATAAGCAGCAACAACATCGTCATTCATTCTCCACTGCTGTTCAACATCCTTGTCCAGTCATCGTGAACATGATCTCAATGTCATCATCATTACCAGTCGAGGCACCATCGTTATCACAGCGAGCCAATGTCTATTCTTTGCTGAATGAATAACTCCGTCGCGATTAGCAGCGTTATCCTTCTTAGCAGGAGCAGCATCTGAATTAACTATTTAACTCGCTGTGTTTATTTCACCAAGGTAAGACCCGCTGAGAGCGATGGAGCTCTTTTTCAGAAGCGACCTGGCCACAAATGATAGCTCAACAGATGATAGCTTTTCATTTGTACATTTGTACAATACTCTAAAGGCGTGTTTATAAATATGGAAATAAAAAGCAGAGGACCCGGAGAAAAATCTATGCGACCATGGGGAGAGAGACACTCAAATTCCAAATGTACAGGCATCGGGGTTGGCATCGAATCCACGACCTCCTGTATATCGGGCGAGGTAGTTAACATCTCGCCATCATCATCAGTAGCAGCAACATCTACCCCCTGCTGTCCATCACAATCAGCAGCCTCAATACTCATTCACGGATTTTCGTCATTAAATCATCAACATCTTCATTTCATATTCTTAGGTTTTTTTCCCTTCTACGTGACTTTACCGAAAAAACCAAGAAGATGAATCCCTGCAGTCACGAAAGCTTTAAATCGAAATTATTTTCGGTAAAGTCACGTAGGTAAAACATTTAAATTTATAAAAATCACGAAACATCGTGATTTTTATTTTATTTTTATTTTACTTTTATTAATTTTTATTTTTTACCTACGTGACTTTACCGAAAAAACCTAAGAATATGAATCCTTGCAGTCACGAAAGCTTCAAATCTAGAATCTTGATTTCAGCATCATGAGCAGCAGCAGCAGCGACGGCACAAGTCATTGTCTTGTGCCGTCGCCGCCGCTGATTACGATGGTAACTCTTTGACTTTTCTTGCTCCACTTTTTGTCTCTTCCCAGTGGCCGTGCACTTGCGCCCCCCCCCCTCCATTCCCCACCCCACACACCCCCCGTGCGCTCGCCTCTCGTCGTACCGTGGACCCTGCAAGCGGTGACCGCATGGCCGAGCGGCATGCCACCCCCGTGGCCCCGGTGGACGGCGTGGGCGCCACGCGGCCGGCGCCCCGCCTGGACCGCGGAGCCCCACAGCACACCAACTCCTCGCGGTGGATGCGAAACTTCCTGGCCGGAGGTGGGAGCTCGGCGTGGTTGTTACTGTGGTTCGGCGCAGTGTGATTTGGCGGTGGGGCATGGTGTGGCGTGGTGCTGTTTTGGCATGGGGTAGTGTGGCGTGGCGTGGTGCTGTCTGGCACAGTGTGGCGTGGTCGCATGGGGTACGATGTGGCGTGGTGTGGTGCTGTCTGGCACAGTGTGGCGTGGTCGCATGGGGTACGATGTGGGGTGGTGTGGCATGATGTGGTGTGGTTTGGTGCTGTGTGGCACGACTTGGCGTGGCGTCGTGTGGCATGATGTGGCATGATGTGGCGTGATGTGGTCGCATGGGGTACGATGTGGCGTGGGGTACAATTTTTGTTGTGGCGTGGTGTTACTGCAGTTCGGTGTCTTGTGGTTGTTTCAGTGTGGTACAGTGTGTTTTCGGTGTGGCATGGCACAGGATTACCGTGCTTCAGTGCGGTGTGCTTCTGCCATGTGGGGTTACAACGACATGGTGAGGCTGAATATTGTTGAATGTTATCATGGTGGCACGTGGATAGCACACTGCTCTCTGAATTCGATGGCACCCCGAGATTCCTGTGTTGCTTTGCCCCTCATCCACCGACCCACATGGGCCATCATGGAGACGTATCGTGAACCAACCCTTGAGTCCGACACGGCATGGTGAACCCCTTTTTTCCAGTCATTGACAAAGGAATGTAAATTATTTTTCACGAAGTTTTTTATTCATTTATTATTTATTCTGCTTATTTACCCAGGAAAGCCTCGCTTGAGTATCAGGACCATTTTTTTCAGGAGGCGATGTTGCTCTTTGTAATTCCAATGGAGTCCTGTAATTTACGGTTAATCTTTTCATCATTGGGATGTGTTGGCCACTTGCGTATAAATGGCCAACACCATTCCTGTAACGCAGCAGCACCTTGGGAAGGTTGGCGGGCATGTGAGTTGGTGTGCGTGCATTGACAAAGTTGGTCTGTTTTTGACTGTGACCCCCAATAGGCATCGCCGGTTGCTGCGCCAAGACCACCATCGCTCCCCTGGATCGCGTGAAGATTCTTCTGCAGGCCTACAACCCTCACTACAAGCACCTCGGTACGCGCACAGAACACTCGCACCACAGCGGCAACGACAACAACAACAGCCACCAGTCACCACTAATGGTGATGTCCCCGTGGTGCTTGCGCCAGGCTAGGGGCACTTTGAAGCTACGTGAAGTGACTCACTCTAGCAGGAGGTCACGGGACAGGCCCAGGTGCTATGGGTTAACTGACTGAGATGAGCTGGAGATGCACCACGTGTATTATCTAGAGACCGTAGAGACAGGTGCCATGAGCAAGCACCCTGACAGGCTCACACAATGCAGATGGTGTGGCTGACGTGGCCGTCTTTGTCTCCCCACTGTTGATGTTAGTACAGCGCCATGGGGCACTCCTTTAATGCTAAGTCGACCAAGGGGAAATTGAGGACAGATTCAGAATTGAATTGTCATTGATAGTATCAGTGGCTGGGAATTAAACTCTGTTTGCTGGGTTCATTGCATGGTGTGCAACAAACTGCACCACCTCTCCCCACACAGATACACGCCATACACTCCACACACACCACACACGCCACACACGCCACACATGCCACACACTCCACACATGCCACACACGCCACACATCATCCGGAGTGCAGGTTCATACATTAATGCAGTCGTGCGACGAGCCAGCTTCAGGGTTCATATTTGTTTTCCATATTAAGTTACATGTGCGAGTGGAATGTCTATTGATTAATTAATGGAGGAATTGGCTTCCCTAACTTTTTTAAAGTGCCGCTAACAGTTTTACAAAATCAATACTTGTCGTCATGGTGGATTGTGATAGTAATATAATGCATATGCATGGATTTCGCAAATGTTTTCCAAAATGGGGTTGTCCTCAGATACATTTATCAGTAGTACAGAAACCGCTCTGGTAACTGACCAGCGACTCACACAAACTCAGCACGAGTTGATCCGCAACTGGGAGAATCTGCCTGCGGATAGTTGAGGATGAACCTTCTCGCCATTCATGAGGCACACACAAGCGACTCACGCGCCGATGACGGACGGGCGAATTGACATGGCGTGCGGTGTGGTGCGTGTGCGTGTGGTGCGTGTGCGGTGTGGTGCGTGTGCATGTGCTAGGTGTGTTCTCTACACTGATGGCGATTCCCAGGAAGGAGGGATTCCTCGGCCTCTACAAGGGTAATGGAGCCATGATGGTCCGGATTTTCCCTTATGGGGCCATTCAGTTCACCGCCTTCGAAAAATACAAGAGGGTGAGCGACCGAGGGCTTTATTGTCCAATCTGGTGCTGTTACGTTTGTGAATGTTTGTGGTAAAACAAATCATGTGGTGATGCTGCTGCTGTTGTTGCTGCGTTGGCAGCGGTGCACAAAGCGCAGATAACATCATAAAGGTTTTTTGGGTTGGATCGCGTAAGTATAAATGTGTCGTTAACCCGCCACCACCAGACACAGCCAATTGGTAAGATTTGTCACGTAAACAAAAAGTGCCAATTAGTTACTACTTCAGCCCACCGGTGTGTTGGAGAGTAAATCCACAATGTTTACAATCTGAGTATTGTGACGTTTCGCTGGTAATTACATCCAGTATCATCGGGTGATTTTGGCAAAAAGAAAACCTCACCACACTAGTCAATGACGTTTTGGCCTTAAAAGGAAAACAAAAAATACGTTTTCTTTTTTAGACAGTGTTATTGAAGAATTTCAGTCAGGGTTGAACCGGTTGGCTCCGGGCAGCAGCAACCCTCGCAAGGCACCGGCAGCAGAGCTTGTCGGTCACTGTGCGGTTCGTTACGACGGACGCAAGGACACGCGCGCACGCAGGGATATTTATATTTATCGTTGGATATTACATGGCTATCGAACAAAGACGGTGGCCACCGCATCGCGCGGTGTTTTCAGATGCGCTTCTGCGGCCGTCTGGAGCGCTCTTCCTTCCGATATTAGGAAGCCACTGAAGCGGTGCACTTTTCAATCGAGATTGAAAACAGATTTTTTTTTTTAGAACTACTTTTTATGTTTAGTTTGTTCTTCCCCCGCACCTCCGATTAGCACGGTTGGATACGTACGCTGCGAAAGAAGTTCAACATACATACTTGTGTGCGGCAAAACCGACAGTCAAGTTTTTCCACCTTTCTTGAAACCCGCGGGTCGACCTCCGTTTCGGTGGGAGGTCGCTACTTATCTGCTGCTGCCCCCATATCCCTGGCCATCTGCACCACCGGTTCATTTAGCTCCCTGTCTAACAGTTGCAGGATTCTTTGAGGAGAGTTCTGCCTTGCGATGATTGGGCACCTCTTTTCTTTGCTTGCGCGAGTAAACTTGAGTGCCACTCTTACGGGGAGGGGGTGGGTGGGGGGCGGGACACCACTCAAAGTTCTGGACAGGTGGATTGTCGAGCCCATGTGTCCCTCTCAAGACCATGAGAAATGTTGTACACGCGCGCAGAGCCACCTCGACCTTGCCGCGTGGGTCATCGGGGGTTGTGTGACGACACTTTACCACCCCGCGGGTCAGTGCGGGTTGGTGGAGATGGGGAGCACGGAAGCACAGTACAACAGTGGATTTGGCTGCATAGCACAGGCCCCGTAGCCACCATTGACATCCGCGTTGAAAACCCGGGTGCTGATAGACTGATACCAACGAGCGATGGACGTTCAACTGAGGACACAGATCAATTAGGTCTTAAGAGCTTCGAGCTAAGATAATGAGTCTCTCCAGAGGCATCACTTAAAGCATCATTAAGTGCCTAATGCAATTGTTTCGCTTCATGAGTTTTATATCATTAGTAAGCAGGAGGGAGTAGGGGAAACCTTTCCTTATACTGGTAGGAACCTCCTGGTTACAACAGCCCACAGGGGATTATTGTGTCCGTCCGTCGTGCATCCAAAAATGGGAGGGGTGGGGCTGGGTTGAGAGGGGAGGGTGGGGAGGGGAGGGTGGGCCTGGGTGGAGGGTGGGATGGGTGGGGCTGGGTGGGGAGGGGCTGTTCACCCCGTGGTGCCCTTAAACGTTTAACCTACTCACGCCGGCTTGTGCCTGCCCTCACAGTCGGCCATATTTGCGGAATACACCACGTCGCTGTTGACCGAGCAACCCAACGTTCCTACCAGCTCCCTCCGCAGGAATGTGTTTGAGGGCCGAATTAGAACTTTCTTAATTTACCTTTGGTGGACAACATATTGTGAATGTTCTCCACAACCCAATTAGCGCACCTGCGATAACAAATGAACGTGACGAGTTTGTGGTTTTTTTTCGGTTGCGTCACGTAAACGCTCTCCCATGTGCCCTCCCGTTGTGCCGCGTGTCATGCGTCACGATCGTCCGAACACTGAAGCGAAGCTCGCGTGGTGTTTGATACGGTGTCCGACGTTTCGCGCCACGTTTGATCGTCGCGCTAAAAAAAACGGCACGCGGTACATCTGGAAAACTTTTCGGAGAGAATTGAATGTTATTTGTCGGCGGTTTTCTCAGCGGCAGGCCTCGTGTGGCCATGGGTCGTGTGAAGTTAAGTCGCGGGCCTTATTTGGCCCTGTGGGCTGTGGATTCCAGCCTGCCCCTGGTATAATGTTGCGCAGTGTTCTCTGGCGATGATGCTGTGTCTCTGTGTGTGTGCTCGTACGTGTGTGTATCGCTCTAAATCCGAACCAATCTTAGGCCTCCCCTAAGCCGACTCGGCCATGCCGAGTGTGATGTGTTAAACATCGCCACTGGGGAGACGAAGGCGGCCGGGCATGGTTCTGGCCACCCACCTCCTCGTGCGCTGTGCCGGCCTTCATAGGCGCTCGCTCGCTGAAACTTGCCCAAAAAGTCTGTTAATGCTGTATGGGGGGGTCCTTTGTCTTTGTATCGCCGGCAGGTTCTGAGCAAGCAAATGGGCATTACGGGCCATGTGCACAGGCTGCTGGCTGGCTCCATGGCTGGTAAGACCCTCGTACGGAAACAAGCGATGCACGCTTCGCACCTCTGCACAGCGCACACGGCGGAGTAAACTTGGCAACAACATTTACAGCCCGCTCGTCGGTCTTCCGCTAAACGAAGGCCTCCCCACGCCGTTCCGGTCGTGGGGGTCGTTTTTACCGCAAGCTCCTACACGCCGGTCAGTGCGGGTTGGTGGAAGGTCGCGTGGCCAGGAGCACTTTTCGGTTATCGCTCTTCACAGCCGGGTTACTCTCGCGATTGAGACCGTCCTGCTCGCCTGAGTTATCTCCGGGCTTAACCAAAATAAGCTCGAACTGATGATAGACTTGGTCGGGAATCGTCACTCGGGTTTCTGGATTTGTAGCGCTGTGCACGAGCTACTCACTCCCCATTTTTGCTGTCGACCACAGGCCCTCATCAGTATACTCGTCAATATATTTCTGTTGCAACAAGTTTGAATTGACTAGTTTGTGAAAGCTGCCGGATGGGCAGCACTTACCTTCCCTACACTGACTGCGCTTGTGTGGGTTGGGTAGTGGTCAACGCGCCGCGCTACGAACCCGACGACTTGTTCAGTGTCTGGCCATGGCTGTGGAGTCTCTGTGTCTGACTGATATACGCGAGTCTGCACGTGCGACTGTGTGTGTGTGTGACTATGTGTGTGGGGAGCGGTGGTGTAGCGGTTAGCGCGCTGCGCTACAAACCTGGCGACCCGGGTTCGATTCCCGCTCACGGCCAACATCAGTGACGATTATCTGAACCGGTCCTGGGCCTCCCCTAGGTCGACTCAGCCTCAAATGAGTACCTGGAGCGATGCGTAAACATCGCCACTAGGGAGACAAAGGCGGCCGGGCGTGATGTTGGCCACCCACCCCCACTCTACGTGCGTGCGAGCGGTGACGTCACCGCCACTTAGTGGCGAATGGCGGGCGTTATTGTGAGTCTGTGTGTACGACTCTACGTATCTGTCTGTGTGTGTGCACCAGGCATCACAGCGGTAATCTTCACGTACCCACTCGACATGGTCAGGGCCCGGCTCGCGTACCAGGTGAAGGGAGATCACGGCTACCGGGGTATTCTACACGCGTTCAGCCTCATCTATAAGAAGGTGCGTGATCAATCCACTGTTGGACGAAGGCCGCCGCCCCCCCCCCTCCAACCCTGTGTGAGTTTGTCCAGCCACTGCTAACATCGGTTGCGATAATCCAAACTGCTCATGGGCCATGCCTACGCCAACTCGGCCTTAAATAAGTAGCTTATTCTAGATTTGAAGTTTTCGTGACTGCAAGGATCCATACTCTTTGCTTCTTTCGGTAAAGTCACGTAGGTGAAAATAAAATAAGAAAAAAACATTGAAATGACTATTTTTTTTAAATTCTCATTTTTATTTTCACCTACGTGACTTTACCGAAAGAACCAAAGAATAAGTAGCTTGTGCAGCGTGTCAGCACTGGGGAGACAAAGGTGACCGAGCGTGGTGCTCACCACACCCCCCTTCACGTCCCGTGCCGACCTTTATAGGTTCCGTGAAGTCCGTTAACAGCTCCCCACAGTCTGTTGAGGCTTTACCGGGGGGGCGGGATCTTTGTCTTTGTGCGCAGGAGGGTGGCTTCCGAGGGTTTTACCATGGACTGGTGCCAACCATCATCGGCATGGCTCCTTACGCCGGTGAGGAGTCCCCACACGCACACCCGTCCGTGAGATGGCAGTACACAGTTCCCTCCGGGAGAGGATTGTGCCTGCAGTTTCAAGGAGGATGCACCCCAATAATAACAACAACGCCCGCCATTCGCCACTCAGTGGAGGAGGCTCGTGAAGGACGCTACTGGTCAGTTGGAGGCAGTCGCCCTTCAACAACAATGGAGGGCAGAGGAGCGACGCTCACAACAACAAGCCGGGCAGATAAAATGCAGCAAGTTGGCACAGTCGGGGGCACAGCTGGTGCATCTGCTAGTCCTCTCAGTCAACCCATGGCACCTGGATCTGTCCCGTGACTTCCTGTCAGTGAGCTTTCCGACACTTCACGTGGTCTCAAAGTGCACCTGGCCTGGCACAGGCGCCGTGGTGACCCCAATAACACACACACGTGCAGCGTGCATACAACACATTCCTGCGGAGGGAGCTGGTAGGAACGTTGGGTTGCTCGGTCAATGGCCAGGGTCAACGGCGGCGTGGTGTATTCCGCAAATATGCCCGACTGTGAGGGCGGGCACAAGCCGGCGTGAGTAGGTTAAACGTTGAGTTTTATAAGGGCACCACGGGGTGACCAGCCCCTCCCCACCCAGCCCCACCCCTCGCACCCCCCACCCAGCCCCTCCCCACCCAGCCCCACCCCCCACCCAGCCCCACCCTCCCCACCCAGCCCCTCCCCACCCAGCCCCACCCAGCCCCTCCCTACCCCACCCCTCCCCATCCAGCCCCTCCCTCCCCACCCAGCCCCTCCCTGCACGACGGACACAATAATGCCCTGTGGGCTGGTGTAACCAGGAGGCGTACGTGTACAGACGTTTTGTTAACCCGCTGTTGGATGAGGGCCTCCTCATGCCGTGCGGGTCGGAGGGGCTTTTTGACCATACTTTAACCACGCTGGTAAGATCGGGTTGGTGAAAGTATGTAAATCAGTCCATCTCTGCAAGCATACATACATGCAAAGATGTAATCGTATGTATTTAATTTAAACAAATCCACCGTTTTACTACTTTAAAAAAAGCTGCTAGAATGCATTTGTCCAGGTGGCCGATAGAGTGATGGAACTCAGTATTGTTTCTGTTATTTTTTACCTGGCTATTTTTTTTATGTCTGCTTTGTTTTTAATATTATACTCAATACACCACAATAGCTCATCATGTATTTCGCGCGGTCCATCAACGATCACTGCGCTACCACCTTAGCCAAACTCATCGGGTCCTAGGTTGCGGGGCTGGGAGCGGAACATTTTCGGCCTGGCAATCGCGCCGTGTTTTTTCTGATTTTAAGCACCATACTCGCTTGCTTCCGTCACTGCGTGGGTCTCTTTACAACTCGGTCGACAGGCACGCCCGTTTTTCGCATTATTTTGGGACAACGCAACCAAGGTTCAGCTACCAAGGGGGGAAGACCAAGAGCAGACGGTGGGAGGCTGTCGGGGGCAGACCCGGGAGGCTGCAGCGTGTCTCCTGTGTGGCAGCTGCGGGATCCGGCAGAGGGGTGGAAAGCGTCGGTGAGATGTGCCGGCGAGCTGTTAACTACCTCGCCTGGTATACAGGAGGCCGGGGTTCAATCCCGACCCTGACGCCTGTACATTTGGAGTTTGCGTGTTCTCTGTTCCCGTGGTCACGTGGATTTTTCCCCGGGTCCTCCGGTTTTCCCCTCCACATTTGAGTATTTGGCTGCTATCAATTTCCAAGTGATAAGCCACTTTGTTGAGCTATCATTTGTGGCCAGGTCGCTTCTGAAGAACAGCTATATAATACGTCAGTGGGCTTTACCTGCTAGAATAAAAAATAGTTTCAGTTTATCGTTCAGCCTTGTAAACGCCTTCCCCCTAACCGCACGTCGACCCACTCGACCTCGCGCCCGCCTTCCTCCCCGTGTGCAGGCTTCTCGTTCTTCACGTTCAGCACGCTGAAGAGCGTGGGGCTCACCCGGGCGCCCGCGCTGCTCGGACGCCCGTCGGCCGACAACCCCGACGTGCTTGTCCTGCGCACGCCCATCAACCTGCTCTTCGGCGGCACGGCGGGCGCCATCGCACAGACCATCTCGTGAGCCGAGCGGCCGTCGCGAGCGTCGCGTCGCGGAGGATTCGTTACAGCCAGGGAGCTTGCCTGGGTCTTGTCCCGTGTGGAGACCCACCGGCTCGCGTAGAGACTCGTAGACGCTCGTCGAGACGTGTAAACTTTGTTGGTTGTGCTTCCGCTGCACCTACATCCAGTGTGAAAGAAGCTCAACATACATGAACTTAATAAAGAGACATGTAGACTCACATAGAGAAATGTAAATGTAAAGAGACCCGTAGACTCGCATAGAAACTTAGCCTCACAAAGTTCAACATAGATACGTAAACTTATAGAGAGACACGTAGACTCGCATAGAGACGTGTAAACGTAAAGAGACCCGTAGACTCGCATAGCGACACAGCCTCACAAAGTTCAACATAGATACATAAGCTTATAGAGACACCTAGACTCACATAGAGACATGTAAACGTATAGACAGACCCAGACTCGCATAGAGAAAGAACCCACCCGCATGCTGTCACCGCCTGAGACTGAAAAACCCGGGGCAGGGTCTGGTAGCCTCCTCGAACCGGAGCCAGGAGGCATCGCCGTGAGCTGCGTGTTTGGGGTGCGGCGATCCGCGCTCCCTTTTGTGACGACGGTTGTGCGGCGGTCGTTGGCAGGTACCCGCTGGACGTGGCACGCAGGCGAATGCAGCTCGCGGGCATCCTGCCCAACTCGGAGAACTTTGGGTGAGCGGCGCCTTCCTCCCTTCCTGAATCGCGTCGCGAGTGTAACGGCGGTCACGCTAACGAACGCGCACAACCCATCGTGTGAGCCCGCTGCACGAGTCGATCGATGGTTTTTTTGTATCTCAGTGCGCCCGACACGGAAATTCGCGCGCCACGTACGGTAGAGTGCAAGGGGGCTGCCGTTGTTTGTGTTAACATTTTTATTAGAATGGTGGCTATACTGACTTTGCAGCTTTCCGGAGCAGGGCTACCCCTGTTCTAACCCTTTCACGTTGCGAGACGTCTGCAAGTCGCAGGGTGGGGTGTCCCGTTCACCTATAAATCTCGGAATGAGCAAGCGGCACGGCGTTAATTTGATTTAGAGAGGCGTACCGCCGTCGCTTTCAAAGACATTGCACTCGCTGCAGAGAACCGTAGTCACCCGATCGCAACTCTGACAGCAGGCGCCAAACTTTGCCACATGCCCTCCTGCATGGCCTTGTGGGAGAATCGGTACCGATAAAAGTGATTCTATTTGAGTTTTGTTGATGTACACGTACGTCACCGGAATGGGAAAGTATAATTCCATCTTGCTGGGTTTTTACCGTAGCTACTGACCTGAAGTCACCTCCCACTCCATCCCCCGGTCTCTGCCCCCATCCCTCCCTACCGCCCCCCTCCCTCCCCACCGCCGCCCTCCGTAGCTCCATGTGGCAGACTCTGACCAACGTGTACAAGCAGTACGGCGTGCGGCGCGGCCTCTACCGCGGCCTCTCGCTCAACTACGTGCGCTGCGTGCCCTCGCAAGCCGTCGCCTTCACCACCTACGAGTTCATGCGTCAGGTGCTGCACCTCAACTGAGAGCCGGCCGCCAACCACCATCGCAAAAAAAAACAAAAATCGCCACGTGACAGAACGGCACGGGGAGGCCCGCACGGCTTGTGCGTGTTACAACAGTGTTAGAGGCGTGTTACAATGGCGTGTTACTACGGCGTGCGCCCCCGTACGCGTCGTTTGGTACGATTTGGGTACGAGCGAGAGCCCTCGCCCGGCCGTCTGTTCCGAACGCGTAACCCGCGTGAAACGGCCGGCCGCCTTTTTGTCGATCCACTGCTGGATGAGGGCCTCTCCCCCCACCACCCCCATGTCCCGCCTGACGCTGCACGGGTTGTATTGCGGGTTGTTTGACCACACTTCACCATGCTGGTCGGTGTGGGACTGGCGAAGGTGGAGAGAACGTAAACGGAGAATAATAGTTGAACAACTGGATTTTGCGTCGCCATGTAGCCCTGCAGCAGCCCACAACATTTTGTTGTTTTTATGCAAAGGTGGTGACACATCGAAGCACCGTCCAGGCTCAAGGTTGCTTGGCTTCTGAGATCTGACGACACTGAGATTTAAGTCCATTCCGAGCGTTCTGTTCAAAGGCTTCCATGACGTACCCTACCTTAAATTAGTCAGTGGGCCTGTGCTGTATATATTTCACTTGTCAGAATCACGTGAAGTGGCGTCGCGTTAGTGGTACCTATTTATATGGCCAATACAAAGTGAGATAATGGGAAGAGATTTTCTTGATATTAAAAACAAATGGTGGTAATTTCTAGAATTAATTCAGCCCAACCAAATTCTCAGCGACTCCATGATGATTGTACTTATCTTTCTGAAGAAAAAGTTCTGAAGTGATACATTTTTTTTTAATATTTGCATTGTCGCCTTCTTCACTTGTATTGGTCATATACACGGCGATCGTTTCCACTAGAATGTTGAACTTGCTGCTTCAGGTGACGACTAAGGGTTGTCGTGAAATGGTACTTTGGCGTACATCAAAGCACAAAAGCAGGACGATAAAATTTGCAAAATACAACGCCACCGTTTTGCAAAACTGATGTCGTGATAATTTTCACATCCTGAAAACGTAATATCGTATAGCCAAAGAACGATATCACGGCAACCCGAAGTGAACGCCTTTTCAATCTCTGTCCAGTGCATTTGTTCGAACAAATTATCTCTATGCCTTACCGCCCATCGCAGCTGTGCGCTCTTGAGATTGCCGCGCGGCCCTCAAATGAATCGGACGTCGCTGCTGTTTTTGTGACTTGCCGAGAACTCCAGTTTGCTGCTTCGTGTCGCTTGCGTGGGGTGATCTGCCACTGCAAATCGTACCGTGTGTGCGACCATGATTGCCATCAGCCCTTGCATTTTGATGGCGTTTGCTGCATCGCAAAATCAGCCGCCTCTTGTCACCATTCTCACACAGCCCTGAATGCATCATAACAATCAGCTATGAATGAATATACATTTGGACCCAATGTCGAATTTCGTAATGTAGGTGGCCGGGTTCCCAAATTCACATGATGGTTCAACCAAGTGTTGTTTATTCGATTCAATAGATGGAAAATGTTGTAGAACAGATAATTATGATGTACAAGTACAGCCCTTTTATGAATCCATTGCTAGATAAGCCCCCCCCCCCCCCCATACTGTGTGTGTCATCTTGGTAGTTGATTGACCATACTTCACCACACTTGGGTTATTACGGGTTGGCGAAGGCAGGGAAGGCTGAGATGTCGGAGGATAAAGGTACGGTAGAAAACTTGCAGTGGCTGCACTGCCCTCTACTGACTTTGTAGCCATCCGAAACAACATATCCTGTTTGCGAACAGGATAGGAATGTATCGGTTCTTTTAAGTTATTTTATTTTTATGCACTAAGGACGGAGAAAATTAAGTCTTGAGTTGAAATAACTGGCATATGGTGGATTCCATAAAATCACAGACAGTCCTAATCAGTTAAATTTCGATTTAAAGCTTTCGTGACTGCAGGGATTCATCTTCTTGGTTCTTTCGGTAAAGTCACGTAGAATGGAAATAATAAAATACTAAAAAGAAAACATAATAAAATAATTCTCACGACGTTTCGGCCACAACGCAAGTATCCGTCCTCAGGAGGAGAACAGGTCTGTCGAGGAGACATTGTCTCCACTCTGTCTCCTCGACAGACCTGTTCTCCACCTGAGGACGGCTACTTGCGTTGTGGCCGAAACGTCGTGAGAATGATTTTATTATGTTTTATTTTTATTATTTTATTATTTCCACTCTACGTGACTTTACCGAAAGAACCAAGAAGATGAGTCCTAATCAGGTAAAGAATTTAGAGCCCCTTTTTCAATCCACGACTGCATGAAGGCCCTCCCCAGTGTCATTCATGGGGGTTATTCAACCATACTTCCTCCAGGATAAATAAATATTCTGATTCCGATTGAGACCGGTTTCCACCGATCACTCGCAACGAATTCTTGCCGTGGCTCGGGGGAATCGAACTCGGATCGCCGGGTTGGGAGCGCAGCGGCGCTAACCACGGCGCCGCCGCTCCGCCCCGCTGGCTCTAGAACAACGCGTACATCACAGAACGTAACGCTGATTAGTGGCTCTCAAAGAGACGAATTGTGTTTTGGAAATCGTTGCTTTGCTCAGTGTGCCAGTATACTCGTGCATTTTGACGGATTAAAAAAACGATTTATTACTTTTCGATTTAAAGCTTTCGTGATTGCAGGGATTCATCTTCTTGGTTCTTTCGGTAAAGTCACGTAGAATGAAGACGCTGTCTCCCCGACAGACCTGGTCTTCACCTGAAGACGGCTGTGCTTGCGTTGTGGCCGAAACGTCGTGAGAATGATTTTATTATGTTTTATTTTGTTATTTTATTATTTCCATTCTACGTGACTTTACCGAAAGAACCAAGAAGATTTATTACTTTTTCATTGAAAGTGTTAAGCTTTGCACAAACATGTTTTGTGGTCCATTCTTGCCAGTAAATCGCATCTTGGTAATTTTTCAAATTTGACAAATAGAATTGTTTATCTTTGTCATTTGAAAAAGTAAAGAAATACCTGCAAATTACTGAATGTGGAAAAACCACCACGTGGCAACATCCCCCCATGTCCGCTTACTGACAGAAGACACCCAATTGCAGGCCGGTGCTGCGTACACCTTGCGCCGCGTAGGTGAAAGCTATCACCGGTCGAGATGGAGATGCGAGGTGCTTTGTGATGCCAAGGCATTTGAGCGCCGTATAAAATGCGAACGCTTGTGCTCATGAATGACTTGTTTGAATGATCGTTGTGTGACATTGAGTGTGACGATGTTTCCAGCAGGGTTATGGGCAAGGAACAAAGCAAAAGCGCTGATTGTGTCGGGGTCAAACTCAGGGGTGAGGCTCATGCACTCAATTGGACCTTCTCAATCTTCACTGTCAATCATCGCCGTCATTTAAGATCAATCCGCTGCCGGATGAAGGGCTTCCCCAAGCCATTGGAATCTCTTGTGGCTTTGCTGTCAGTCACCGTCAGACATCCATCATCGATGCACTGCTGGATGAAGGCTATTCCAAGCCGTCACGATCTCTCACGGCCTCGCTGTCATTACGGGTACAAATACGGTTTGCGACACCTGCAGAAGGTACTTATTGGATGCGCGTCGCGTTAAACCGCCCAGCAAAGGTGTTAAAAACCAAAGAGATCAAAGCAATATCAGTAAAACCATTTAATTCTGTCGCATTTCACCCCACATTCACACAATGCGATTTTAATTTCATTACTTAACGTAGACTTGCAAACGGCAGCTTAGTAAATATCATCAGTTGCTTAATTTGTGATTTTTTTCATTTTCAAATGCCCAATGATTGATTGCATGCACACTTGCTGGGTACCACAGCGAGTTCTGTCTTCTCGGCCATTTGGTAAGTGGCTTCTCAGTGGCCCAGGAATGGCCCAGCGGCATTTCAGGATTGGCGGCTTGACCCGGGTCTGACTGGTCTCCAATCTGAGCCCTATGACGTCGTGCACTCGGCACCACCCCCTACATACCCTCCGAGATCAAAGGGAAATAATCGTAAAAATGTTTCGTTGAGATGATGCTACGCTAAGCTCGTCTTATTTTTTTTGTAATTTTCGTCTGTGTTTTTTTACGCAGCCTTGAAGTTGAACTAAGCAAGCAACACCATGACCACTCCTCCCGTTTCCCTGTAGGCCACATGACATCATGACCGAGAGAAAACGTGTGCGGCAAGCTTTCCCAGTACCACGTTTCAACTTCAGATTTGGCTTCAATTTCAGGTCGGAGTCCGAATTATCTTCAGGCCAATTTCACTTCATTGAGCTGGCCTACATCAACAACAAAAACAACAACTGTTGTGCTTTGCAGGAGGCAGGAACGTTTCATTATTTCAGCAACCATGGTCCCGTGACCTTTTATTTTCAAGTACTTCTGGGAAGGACCTGCCCAACAACTCAAGTAACTCGGAAAGTCACGGAGACGCCACTTTTTTTGTATTCATCAACTCAAGTCGAGTCTTGAGTTGGCGGTCCGTGGAAGCTTGGTATTTGCGGCCTGTTGAGGCCGCTAGCCCGGTTCACAAACCGAGCCGCAAATCCTTCCCAAGGAGTCGTGAAAACCCAGCGTTAGTCCGCAGACCAGTCCAAATATTTCACTTGGCGCTTCCATTTGAGGTGGTGATATGTGATCAGCACGAGGTTCTACATTTGGCCATTGTGTAATGACCCACCAGTTTTAAATAATTCTAAAACAATAATTTTGGTCTCACAAATTCATTTATGAAAAAAGTGTTGCCTCGAGATAATAGTCTGCTGAATCTTGTTCTGTATTCAATAAAGCGAGTTTGGTGAAGGGAGTAGCGGTAATTATGGTGGGCTGTGAAGAAATGATGCAATGTGTGGTCATTGACACTTAAGTTGTACATTTCCTCAGGTACTGGAATTTAATTCAGGGGAGGAATGAATTGCACTGGGTAGTATCGCGAGAGGATGAATATCTAGTCTTGCTTTACTTGTTATCAAAAGTAAATTGTACAAATGTACGTGCACTGCCCTTTTATCTATCGACTACTGAGCGAGGGCCTTCCCATGCCACGTGGTTTGTGGGGAGTTATTTAATTATATGTCATCACACTGGTCGGTGCAGGCTGCAGGATAAGTGTAAGCGCTGCAAGGATAAGTGTCAGCGGTGCAGTGCAGTGCAATTGGCTTTGCCCTGCACGCCGCATCGAAAAGTAAGATTGATAAATTGCTAAATTGACCGTTTGAATTTCCTCATACATTTCTACTGTAACGTTCATATCAAAACAATGACCCGTCGATTCTTAATGCTCGCGATTAATGCATTGAATTGTGTGCAAGAATCAAGTCTAATTTGGGTTGAACTTTTTGTCATTTGCCAGTGGTTGATTCTTATCGCTCGTGATACATGCATTTCATTGTGTAAGAATCGATGTTTTTCCCGAATCAGGGTGTGAACAACCGTTGGTTGTGGTTGGTCAAATGAAAACTGTTTCGCCACAAGTTTTTTTAACATGCACCACAAAGGTGATTTTTTTATTTAATTGAAATTCAACCTCTGTAAATCTTTACATACATAACCATTCAATGTGTCCCTGACATTCTATGGCAGTTTCAGAGATGGGATGCTCCTACATCTATTTTATTAACAAAACGTAGTCGCACTTTCTTCAAGTCAGGGCACCTTAAGGCTTTCCTGGATAACCCAAGGAGATAAGTCATACATATGTTGTATCGTAGACGGAGGTACTCGGAGACGGAGGTTGAGTTAGGGGCTTCCGCCAGGGTTTATTAACACTTATCACTATCCCTGGTTCCCTCTTTACCCCTTCCACTATCCCCGTTCCTCCAGTGACCCCGCTTACGTTACGGGGTCTCCCTTATATACCCTCGGAGGGGTGATGTCGCGTGCACTGCCCAGCGCGTGCGACCCCACGTCCCGTGAGGTCACCGCACCTGACAGCGCACACGACGCCACCACTCTCCACTACTCCTCTACATCACCCCCCCCCGTAAAAAAAAACAGCCGACCCGGCTGCAATCAACCTTAGGGCAGCACGGCCCTTCAAGCAGAACAGTAACAACAAAAAAACAAAACAAATAGAGCCCGAAGGCCTCATCCGCCGGATAGCGCCGAACGGGCGCCAGGGGCTAGGCCCGCTGAACGGCCATCAGGGCCGTCACCGGAGCCGCACCCCCCTCGAGCGGGTATGCGCTGCTGGCCCGCTCCCTCGTGCGGTGTCCGCCACCCGTGCAGGTGGGCCGTCAGCGGGCAACAGGCCCACCGCCGTGGCCTCCGGTGCCTGGGGGGTCTCTGTCGGCCTCACTCGGGAGGGGCCTGGGGGCACACACACAGGTCGGACGTCACCTCCGTCAACGAGACCCGGCCGGTCAGGCACGCCGGATACATCATCAGCCGGCCGCTCCGGAATTGGGGGTGGATCCCCCAGGGTAGATGGAACATAACGTTTGAGCCGGGACGGGTGCACTATCCACTGCCTGCGACCGAATCGAATCCGGACGCATTGCGGCCGGCGGACCTCCACAACCTCCACGGGTCCCTGCCAAGGGCGATGCAATTTGGCCGATGTGCCAACGGGGACCTGGGGACAATGCAGCCACGCTTTTTGACCCGCTACCCACGGGAGGCCAGCTGCCTGGTGTTTTGGCAGCCGCTCATTAGCCGCCTGCCGGCTTGCGGAATTCTCGGCAGCGGCCTGTCGCGCCTCGCGCAGCCGGTCAAGTGCGACCTTCAAAGGGGTCGGCACCGACGACCCCTTCTTGGAGGAGCCAACGTCCATCTGGACGTGCACCGGGGGCTCCGGTTCCCTACCGTACATTAAATAAAAAGGCGAAAATCCCGTGGAGGCATGAGGGGCCAACCGATACGCCGCCAAGACCCCCGGGACGAACAGGTCCCAGTCTGACTGGGACGTGTTCACCTGGTGGCACAGCATGGACGTAAGGGTGCGGTTCAAGCGCTCTACCATCCCATCTGACTGGGGGTGGTAGGGCGAGGTGCGGATTTTCTTGGTGCCAAGGAGGTCACACACCTCCTTGAGCAACCTAGACGAGAAATTCCGCCCCTGGTCAGTCAACAATTGTTCCGGCGCGCCCTTGTCAAACACGTATCCCTGGACGAAGGCCTCGGTGATAGAAGAGGCCAACTGATCGACCAAAGGCCATGCCATGGGCCAACGTGTGAGGTACTCAACGCCCACCAAGAGGTATTTGTGGCCCCGTTGGGATGCAGGGAATGGCCCCAAAATGTCGAGCGCCACGAGCTCATTAACGCGAGAAACCCGGATGGACTGCAGCGGGGCCCGGTCCTGGACAACTGGGGCCTTCCTCCGCGCGCAGTCGTGGCAACCCTTCAAAATCAGTGCTACGTCACCCTCAACACCCGGCCAGTAATAGTCCCGCTTAAGGGTCAATAAGGTCTTGTGGTAGCCAAGGTGCATAAGCTTCTCGTGAATGGCTCGGGTTAATTTACCACGCAGGCTAGTGGGCACAACCACACAATAGCGTTCCAATTGGGCATCCCAACGCATGAGTAGTCCGTCATGCACGGCGATCGCCGGGGCAGCCGACGAAGCTAAGCTCCGGGCGTTATGTCCGACACGGCGCCGTAGCTTCAGCAGAGAGGAATCCTCCATCTGCAAGCCGGACCATACCTCCCGGGGAAGTCCAAGGCCGAAATCTGCGGTCGACGCCGCACCTGGAGGGGTGTCCGCCTCGGCCGACGCGACCAACTGGGCCGCGGCGTCCCCTGGGGCCTTGCAACGGCTAGAGCCCAGGGCGCAAGCACACCCGCCGCCTGCCGGCAATCGGGATAAACCGTCCGCATTTCCATGCTGTGTCCCCTTCCTATGGATTACATCAAAAGGGTAATCCTGGAGCACTTCGAGCCAGCGAGACAGCTGACCCGAGGGCTGACTAATCTTCAGCGAATATTGCAGGGCCGCGTGGTCGGTTCGGACCGTAAACAGCCTACCGTACAAATATGGTCTATACAACTGAACAAAATAAACTATGGCCAAAAGCTCCCTCCGGGTCACACAATATCGCTGTTCCGTCGAGGACAGAACGCGACTGCCATAGGCTACCACCCTCTCAACCCCGTCGACCACCTGGGCCAGGACAGCCCCAATTCCCGTGTCGCTGGCATCGGTATCGAGCAGGAAGGGTTTCGTAAAATCCGGGTACCCCAAGGGCGGCGCATCCGCCAAGGCCGTGCGAAGCGCCGCAAAAGCCGCCTCCTCCTCCGCGCCCCAGTGAAACCTTTGTCCTTTGGCGGAAAGGGCGTGCAGTGGCTTCGCAATTGTCGCAAAATCGCGGACAAACCGGCGATAGTACGATGCGAATCCAACGAAGCTACGCACCTCCGCGACAGATGTGGGAGTCGGCCACGTCCGGACACAAGCCGTTTTATCCGGGTCCGTGGCGACACCTGACGTGCTAACAATGTGTCCCAAATACCTCACCGATGGTTGTAGCAAGTGGCATTTCTGGGGTTTGAATTTCAAGCCAGCAGCACGCACTTTGACGAACACCGCCTCAAGGCGTTGCAAGTGCTCGCCAAACGTACGGCCAAAAACAATAACGTCATCCAAGTAGATTAGACAAGACTCCCACTGCAGCCCCGCCAAGACCATCTCCATGAGACGCTGGAAGGTGGCCGGGGCCGAATGGAGACCCATAGGAAGCCGATTGAACTCGAACAACCCCTGGGGCGTGCGGAACGCTGTTTTGGGTCTAGAGGCCTCATCCAGTGGCAATTGCCAGAAGCCGGAGAGCAAATCTAAAGTCGAAAAGAACCGCGCGCCCGAGAGGGCGTCCAAGGAATCATCCATGCGAGGCAATGGATATGCATCAGCCACCGAGATCTTGTTCAATCTACGAAAATCGACGCAGAACCGGAGACTCCCGTCCCGTTTCTTGACTAGCACAATGGGGGCACCCCAAGGGCTAGTAGATGGGGAGATGATGTCCGCCGCCAACATTTCCTCGACAGCCGAGCGGACATGATCTTTTTCCGCTGGGCTAAAGCGGTGGGAATTAAGTCGAATGGGGGCCGCGTCGCCCGTGTCTATGTGGTGGTCCAAAAGAGTAGTGCGACCCAGATCAAACTTACTTTGGCTGAACACATCGGTGAACCGTTCGATGAGGTCGCGGAGTTGCCGACGTTCCCCGAAGGACAACGAGGCATTCTCGTCGCACAACGTGGCGATCCATGATGCGTCGGGGTCCCCCGTGCGCATCACGCCCGCCACGACCCCTCCATCCGGGGCAGCGCTCTCGGGTGGAGGAGCCGGGGTTGCGTGTGCCAGGACGGCGCCGGCCGGGACTATGACCGGCAAGGGTCCCGAATTGAGGACCTGCAAAAAAAGGTCCTGGCCCCCCGACACGGCTGTCAAGGCGCCCACCAACCCCTTCGTCCTTGAAAAGTAGCTTGACGGGGACAGGAGGATACCCGTCTCCGTGGAGCCCATTTCGAGCGGTTTGCGCAACCTAAGGGGTATCAGGATTTGTGACGCCGGTGGTACGGTCACCGGCACTTTATTCAAGGCCCGTACACCGGCGACCAAGGGAGACAGGACGGTAGGTGATTGTAGGAATTGCAGCCGCCTCCCTGACGGCATTTCCACACAGCCCTGGTCAACGAGAATTCGGATGGGCATCCTAGACAAAAAGTCGGTCCCCAAGAGGCATGGCACTGCCAAGGTCCTGGAGACCAAAATCGGCCCGGCCAACTCAATCTCGTCAACCCGAACCGACGCTACAACGTGGCCCAGGATGCCCAAACTGCCGCCGTTCGCGGCGACACAAGCCCCGCGAACCGGCCTTAATGGACCCACGCTGCGGGGTAGCAGCCCAAAAATGGCCTCAGAAATAATGGTGGCCGACGCCCCCGTATCCACCAGGAGGCGAACGTGCACCCCTTGCACATATCCTGCCACCGCTGAGGAGCCGGCAGCTGCCGCCACCATCCTATGCGCAAGCGCATCCCAGTGGCGGGTCTGTCTGGGCCATTGAGGGGGTGATGACGATGGTGCACCCGACCCTTCGAGGACAACCCCATGACGATGGGCCCTAGCCCCGCTAGATGCATGAGGTGAAGGGAGCGGCCGCGCAGATGATGCGTCGCGACTCGCCTGGGGCCCCGAACCCGATGCCAAGGAGGGTCTGGGAGAAGGTGGAGTCCCTTTTCCAAAGGCCCCCGGGGCATTCCGGCAGCCCCGCTCAATGTGGCCCCGCTGACCACAGCGGAAGCAGGCCACCGTGTCCGCCTCCTGTGGACGGGAAGGTCCCGGCCGCCCCCGCTGCTCCGGACGGCGATCACCCGTCCCCCTTCCTCGACGATCGGGCATCGCCAGGGCCGCGAGGGTGTCCCCCCCGTCCGGCGCCAGGATCCCCGCACACGCCGCCATCTGAGGCCGTTGGCGGAGGGAGAGGTGCGCCTGAATGTTTTCTGCGACCGCCAAGGATGTGATCTGCCGATCATTGTTGATCGACAGAGCAATTCCTAGCTCCCTTGCCAGGTCAAGCAGCTTCCCCAAGGCCATAGAATCAAGTGCCCTGCCGTACAGGTCAGGGTATGCAGCCTGCGCCAGGGCCAGGAGCGAGCAGCGGAAGGCCAGCGGCAGTTCCCCCTCCTCCCGCCGCCGCAATGAAAACTTTAGCTGCGCGGTGGACGGCGGCTCAAAAACGTTGGCCATTTGGATA